ACCCCATCGGGCATTTTTGGAAGAGTAAAAGGGTAAAACAGGTATTATAGCATTACTTTATATCAGAATTATGTTTGAAGGATATTTTAACAATATTAAAAGAATAAAGGGGTTATTTGCATAATTTTTTAAATAGGGGGTAAAAGTGCTACGCGGAGTACTTTAGGGGTGTTTTCTCCACTTCACCCTCTTTTCTATTACATATCATTGCCATTACTGTGTTTAACTTTTTGAAGTCATTTTTAATAACCTTATCTTATGTGATTTTGAACCCCTCCCCCTCTGTAATGACCCGATCCTGTGGGTCCAAATCATTATCCGGGTCATAACCTGACCCGAGGACTCTCAAGTGAAAAATGGTCATTGTGTACCTTACTAAGGATTAGAAGTCATAACAAAGTCATACTAGTCGTTTCTAACTTCGAGTTCGCACCAGACCCTTAAGGATTACAAGGCTAAAATGGTCATTTTGATTCATAATTATGGAATGAAACTGGTACTAATGGAAAAAGGATTCGAAATCCTTCAATTTGGGCTTAAGAACGACTTAATTTGAGTTAGAAACGAAAAAGATATGGTTAATCAAAGTTTGGTCAATAGGGTATTTGTGCACTCTGTGAACCGATCTTAAATACCTATGATTGATCGTAAATACTATATTTAGAAAAATTTCTGACAACCCTGAGTTTAGCCTTATGTTGATCGATAGTAAATGTTTGAGATTGATCGTATACTCCATACTTAGAAATTTTCAGCAATAGCCTCAAAATTGGCTCTCTGTCGATCGATCGTAAACATTTGTGATTGATCGTAAATTCCCTAGAATTTTTCTTTTCTTCTTAAATTGCTACGGTTTGGTTCCTATACCCCCATTTTTTATAATTGATACATCCATACATCTCAAAATCTATCCCAAAGTACCCATAGGACATAAATACATAACCAAAATAATTTACAGGCATATAGTATAATGAAAAGACATAAAGGCCCCTAGGTATGTGATTCTTTCCCAACCATTCCTTTCCATCCATTAGTTCGCAAAAGAATGCTTAAAGTAGATAATTCCATGTCCCAAAAAAAATAAGTTACATCGCCATTTCGATGGTTATAAAATAATACAAGTTTACCCAAGGGTTACATTATCATAGGTTACAAAAGATAGAATTCTTCAACTTCGAATACATTTGTTGATGGATGTCATATATTACCTCCTTACTATGTCCTGAAAAATATCATGCTTGGGGATACAACCGCATACTTAGTAGGCAATTCATCCATTTCATGATTTAATAATATAAGAACATTAAAATGCCATGATATGCAATGCCACCGAACTCAATTCAGTCCTAAATCGACACAACTCATACCAAAAACCGTTAATTGACTTTATCGAGGCGAGATTGCTTAACTATCCCTGGCTTTAAATCCAACAACCATTTAGGGCATAGTTAATGCAACATTTCACGTCTAAATCTGGCACACACTCCCTCTAGTCAAATTAGCACCGGACTCGTGAAATCCGGTTCATTTCTAAAATCCGGTTCAAACTTTCTTGGAAATTCAATTCACTTGACAATTCATCCCAATTCTTACCACCATCTGCGTGACATGAATGCATCATTTATCAAATGAGACTAATTCACATTCTACAAGAATTCTTCCATCATTTCTAACATTTAACTTACATGTAGTGAGAAAATTGCATAGATATCGTTTTCGAACAATCATAGCATGCTTGAAGTCTCTAATTAATTAGTTAATTAATCATTCATGCATTCATATAAACTTTTCATAACAAGCTAGGCATCCACAATTAAGACCACTTCTACTCATAGTAAGTAATTTGATCATTTTGCACATAGTCACACAAACAACATCATCATTTAAGCATGTTTTCCTCATTTAATCATACAACTATCATATTTGCTCAAGAAATTCCATTCAAACAAGTTTAATGACAAGTCAAGACAAGATAGCTCAATGAAAGACAAAGTTCAATACATTAAACACCCATACCTCAAGTTGTGCAAGCCAAATAAGCTCTTATCTAGCCCCAAATTTCAAAATCCTCCAAGTGCCCTCAAGTGTGGTGTTAAATGGAAGCCTTTGATGAATAGACCAAATCTCTCTTCTTTGGTCTTTGCAAAACATCACTCTAAGGCTCTAAAAAATTAGATTGAAACATGGGGGTTTGAGGAGGAAATGGGTGGTTTCAAAGTCTTCAAAATAGAGTCATGATTCTCCCCTTGCCAAGTGTCAACTTGTGGTCCATTCCACTTTAACCAAAGTCACCTAAATGTCCCTCTTTACTAATCAACTTCCCCACTTTGCCTTTAAAATATCTTCCACATATACATACACATACATACATACATATATATATATATATATATATATATATATATAACATATCAAATACCACAATTAATGGAAATGAAAAATTGGGAGAATTTTCCCTGCACAAAAGTCGATCCTTACTCCGAAAAGTTCTAAAATCGATCCCATAAATTCTAACATGCTTAAAATAAATAAAATGCATTTCCAAATATTCCAAGCTCAAGAAAATATCCCGAACAACCCTCGGGACCCACGTGACATGCAAAATAAGGCACGTAAAATAATAAAAATTAAAATACCAAAAGATCCAGAAAAATTCAGGACATTACACCTTCCGTCTCCTAACTTTTATTCCAACTAGACTCCCTCGCTTCACCGGTGTGTACATGTTTTCAAACCATTTAAGTTTACTCTCACTAATGAGTGTTACACCTAGGCACGAACACATGAGTAGCTATTCTTTTTACTATTATACCCTATTATTTTTCTCATTTTAATACATATATATACCTATACAATTTCACTATTGCCCCCACTGAAATTATTAAAAAAATTCACAATTGTTCCCCTTCATATATTATTTTTTTGGGTCTGTCCTTGTTATACTTAATTTTTTTGTTACACTCTGACTAATGACCTTGTCTCTTCTAGTCACGCCACTCATTCATCTTAACATTCTTATTTTTGTTATACTCCGTTCAGTAGAAAGGAAAAAAATTTAATGGAAGAGAGAGAAGAAAGGATGATTGAGACGTCCGTAGAGAAGAGATTAAATGTTTCCCTCTTTTTGTTTGGTTAAATGAAAGAGAATGGAAAAAATTGACAATTTAATTTGATCGGTTGGATAAAAGGAAAGATAAAATTTTTAAGTTATTTTTACTATTAAACCAATCATTTACTTTATTTATGGGATTTATTAAATATGTATGAAGGGTGATATAGTAATTTAAAATTTTTATAATAGGCTCACTTGTTTCTCTCCTATCTTGCGCCCATATTTGAGCAGATGAAAATTTGTGAAGGAGGAAATCCTTCCTATTATCCTTTCTTTCCTTATATTATCTCTACCAAATGAAGGAAATTTGTTCATTTCTTCCTATTTTTTTTCCACTCCTCTTCTTTTCCTTCCTACTGGACGTATAGCATTAATGAAGACGTTGTTCTTGTCCATCTTTTAGTGCCCAACATTTCGGCGCCCCATATAGCATAGTTTGTCTAATAACAATTCTATTAAATTTTCTTTTTAGTTTATATATTATTCTTTTACCACATAATACCCCACTAGTTTGCCTTCATTTTGTCCAATCCACACCAATTCTACTAATTATATCTCTCCATCATCTTTTATTATCGATCCTATGTACCTAAATTGGATGTTTTGAGTAACCTTTTGGTTTTGAATTGCTATCACCATATTATGAATCTCTAAATCTAATTTTACACTTTATGCATGTACTCGATTTTAGTTAGTTTAATTGCATATATTTTTATAAAGTGGAGATTTCTTTTGCACTTTTCACATTATTTAAATTAGGGTAAATTGAAAAATCACCTATATAAAAAATGTGCAAAAACACCTTAGCTTTTTTTTAAAGTGCATATAAATTTCTATATTTTAAAATTTTGTAGAAAATAGCCCCTTTGTCAAATTAGACTATTTTTTTTTTTTTATAAAATTTCCAAAATACCCTAGAGAAAATTTAGGTATTTCTTTTTTTTTAATAAATTAAAAATTAAAAATACTAATTTTTTTAAAAAGATGATTTTAAAAAAAAAAAATAAATAAGCAAAAAATCAAAAATATATGATAACCACAATAATAGTGGTATTTCTTACTGTAGTACTAAAAACACTAGGCTCCATTTGTTTGGATGTAAAAAAAAATTTAGACCTAAACCTTTATCAACTATTTTTTGATAAGTTATTTTATTAATCCCACCCGATAGACCCGACCTCAATCTTGACCTAAACCTTTATCAAATACCCAAAAATAAAATAAAATAATATTTTATCAATATATATATATATATGTTACTAATTGTCGCATGCAAAGTGGAGGTTTGAGTTAGAGGGCTCCATTTGTTTCCACATAGAATATCATTTTTGATATATATATATATATATATATATATATATATATATATGTTAAGCACAAAATTTAGACCTCTGCACGGTCTGCACCTATGTCTTATTTATATAGTGACAGGGACTATGAGCATTCCATTTGAGATATGGATAGCAAATATACTTAAATTAAAGCGATGTTCGTGGGTTGGTCCTACCTAAGAGTTTGGGTAAGTAGTTCTTTTTTACTTTAAAAAAATTACCGAATGTACCCATCAAGAAGTAATGAGAAGATGGAAATGGGGTCCTTTAAAAAAAAAAAAGGAATGGGTGAATTTTCTGCTCTAGAACCATATATAAAAAATATTTAATATAATAAATGAATTAGAATAAGTTGTGGACTTCATTCATTCATTCATACCAAATTAAGTTATGAAATAAAGATGATGAACCATATAAAAGAACTTAAATGTATACATAGGTAGATATAGATATAAATATTTGACTTTTTGCAAAATTTGTGGTTAGTTTTCTTTCCCAATTCAGTCATATTCAATTGATGAATAATGCGAGGGTGTTTTTTATGTTGTGAATGGCAGGTACTTTACCAGAGGAGCTTGGTAACCTCAACCTTGAGACCCTTAATGTCTATGCAAACACCTTAACCGGCTCCATTCCGTTCAAAATATTCAACATGTCAACAATGAAATTCCTTGCCCTGGCAAATAATCAATTCTCAGGCAATCTTCCTTCAGACATGGGGTTTTGGCTTCCGAATCTTGAAGGGCTTTATCTAATCATGAATAAATTCAGTGGAACAATCCCGAGCTCTATCTCTAATGCTTCTAGGCTTACCATCATTAGCATGAGCATTAACTCATTCACTGGGTCTATACCCAATACGCTGGGTAGTCTAAGATTTCTGCAGGCGTTCGAGATTAATATGAATAGTTTGACCAGGGAATCTTCTACTCCGGAGCTGAGATTTTTCGATTCTTTAACGAATTGTAGACAATTGGAGTCCTTGAGCATATCATTCAATCCATTAAATGGTATACTTCCAATTTCAGTTGGGAATTTGTCTACTTCACTGCAGAGTTTTGAGGCATCCGGATGCAAAATTAAGGGCAATTTCCCCAGTGGAATCGGCAATTTGAGCAAATTGAGAAGGATAACCTTAGACAGCAACCAGTTGATCGGACCACTCCCAGAAACGTTACAAGGATTACAAAATCTTGAAAGTTTGAATCTTCAAAATAATAAATTGCAAATATACATCCCAGATTATTTGTGCCAGTTAAGGAGATTGGGAGATTTGTATGTAAGTAATAACAATCTCTATGGACCGATTCCGACATGCTTGGGTGAGCTTCAATCTTTAAGATGGCTCTATCTTGACTCCAACAATTTGACTTCCTAATACCGTTAAACTTGTGGAGCCTTGAAGACCTATTGGCTGTAAACCTATCCTCGAACTTTCTAGAAGGTCACCTACCATTAGATATTAGAAATCTGAAGGTCATAACACTAATAGACTTGTCATGGAATCACTTGTCAGGTACAATCCCAAACACCATAGGAGGAGCTCAGTCAGTAGTTTCTCTTTCCTTGGACCACAATAATATGCAAGGACCTATTCCTCAATCATTGGGCAACTCGATAAACTTGGAATTCTTGGATCTATCAAGTAACAATTTGTCAGGAGTTATTCCAAAGTCCTTGGAGGCACTCAGGTATCTCCAATATTTCAATGTGTCTTTCAATAGACTGCAAGGAGAAATTCCTAGTGGAGGACATTTTGCCGACTTTACAACTAAGTCCTTTCTGCATAATGATGCACTTTGTGGTGCACCTCGTTTGCAAGTTCCCCCATGCAAAGCCCATGGAAGATCGAGGTCAAAAATTGTACCCAAGTTGATATATATTTTAACTCCTATTGTATTAGCAATTGTTATTGTGGCCCTCATATTTGTGTTGATAGGAAGAAACAAAAAGATAAAATTGCAGACCCAAGACGATTCGTCATCACCTTTTCCATGGAGAAGGATTTCGTGCGAGGAACTTCTACGAGCAACAAAAGCATTTAGTGAAACCAACCTAATTGGTATGGGGAGTTATGGCTCAGTATATAAAGGAATGCTCTTGGATGGGATGAGTATTGCAGTCAAGGTTTTCAATTTGCAACCAGAAGGAGCTTTCAAGAGTTTTGATGTCGAGTGCGAAGTAATGCGTAATATTCGTCACCGGAATCTAATTAAAATCATCAGTAGTTGCACTAACTTAGATTTCAAAGCCTTAGTACTAGAGTACATGCCTAACGGGAGCCTTGAGAAGTGGTTGTATTCACACAACTATTGTTTGGATTTCCTGCAACGGTTAGATGTCATGATAGATGTTGCATCAGCATTGGAGTATCTTCATCATGGTAATACAACACCCACTGTTCACTGCGATTTGAAGCCAAGCAATATCCTCCTCGATGAAGACATGGTTGCACATGTTGCTGATTTTGGGATTGCAAAACTCTTAAGTGATGGGGATCTTATAGTGCAAACTATGACCTTAGCAACAATTGGATATATGGCACCAGGTGATGTTTCCATAGTTGTTATTTAGTTTATTTCATGCTCAAAGTATTTCTCTTTCTTTAAAAACATGAATTTTTTTTTTTTTTTTTTTTTTTTTTTTTTTTTTTTTTTTCATGCTAAAGTTCTGATCCCGTGTTTGATTTTGTAATAAATGTTATATGTCATGCATAGAGTATGGAACCGGAGGAATAGTATCTACAAGAGGCGACGTCTACAGTTTCGGTATTATGTTGATGGAAACATTCACAAGGAAGAAGCCGGCGGAAGAAATGTTTGCTGGGGAGATGAGCTTGAAGCGTTGGGTGAATGAAGCATTAATGGATGGTTCAATTGTTGGGGTTGTGGACTGTAATTTGATGGGAGGAGAAGAAAAAGATTTCTCTGTGAAGGAGCAATGTGTATCATCTATCTTGAGTTTGGCCATGGAATGTTCAAATGATTCACCTGAGAAAAGGACAAACATGGAAGATGCCTTGGTTAGACTAAAAAAAATTAAGGTTTCGTTTCTAGCAGATATTGGTAGGACTTGAAAGATATAGCAATCTTAATTTACGTCTACTGTAAAATCTTTTTTCCTTAAAGCAGAAACAATGTTGAAGATCATGTTGTAGTATAAGGCTAGTGTCTTTCAATAATTAAATCTAATGATAGACAATGTTGAACTCAAACATAAATATAAACAGAGTGCAAATTTTTTTTCTTTCAAACTGGGCACGTAATGGCTTTCTTTGTTTCGTGCAGGAGCTAGACTTCTGCAAAGACATTTCTAACTGAGAAGAGAATATATATATATATATATATATATATATATATATATATCTATATTTATACACATGCATGGAGAAGAAGTATTACATTAGAGGTTGCCGCGTGTAATTACCTCTAACATCCTAATAAGACATATTCACCTATTTTATGGTCTGAACTCTTAAGTGAGGACGGTTTCAATCTCTTTCTGCTCCCTCTCTCTCTCTCTCTCTCTCTATTCAAAGAGAAATTGACGGTTGTAAAGTATCCGTTTCACCCTCTTTCTATTCTCTCTCTATATTTAAAGAGAAATTAAACCCTACAAATATCTGTTACATGTATTAGACTAAGTACTAATAATTTTCATTTAAAAATTTTCTCAAAAATTAAAAATAATAGATTGAAAATTTATTTTTTCAAAAGAGAAAAAATAAAGTTGAAAGGATTTAGTGCAAGCACGGACCCAATATAGGACCAGTGCCCACTAAGGACTACATTATTTATTTATTGATTTTTTTTTTTTTTTTTAACAAACAAATTGGAAAAAACAGCTTTTGGGGCAATTCGTCAGCCTCGCCGTTACTGTTTGGACCGTTGCCTCCTTTTTTAAAAAATGAAAATTAAAAAATAGCAGTTGCAAAACGGCATTGTTTTTGAGCAAGAATTTAATATATATATATATTAAGCGATGGCGTGCGCTAGTGAAATGGCCCGCGAGCATTAGTGGGCCTGCTTCCCTTAAGCGAGCCTGCTGTGGCCCAAAATTGAGCCAGGCTCGCTAAACCAGCCCTATTGCGAGAGGGCTGGAGATGGCCTAATACATCTAAAGGTTTGGTTGGGGAAAGCGTACACTACTCCAACCATATTTTCATATGGGAGGGCAGAAACGATCTGCCTTTTTAACTTCCAAGCAAAACTGTACAAACTTCTTCCTGATAAAGATTACACCCATGTCCAGCCCAATATAATGGAATTGTAATATATTGGCCCTACCCAGGCTTCACCAAATTCTTGGCCTAGTTTTTTAATTGGGTTGAATTGATGTGGGCCTTGGCCTTATTGTATGTAGAGAGATATTGTATGCTGGAGCTTTATAATCCATACCTATTATGGCCCAATTCTCCACCATAGCATTAGGATTCAGTGAAAGTTTGCCAAGGTTATTAATGGAAAGAGTCTTAACCATTCACCTAATTATCAATCTAATTTAAAAACAAGTTAGGTTAAGCATTAAGAGATTCACATAATAATAACTAACATGAAATGGTTCAAAACACTATTGCAGAATAAAACTGCAAAAATATTTCACTTCATTTAGTTTCCATCCTAGAATTTTGTTCATCAATAAACAATACTGAGAAAAATTCACACCAACTAAACATTTCTAGATTGTCTATCGTACTGGTCTTCTGTAATTTTTAAGTTGCAGTGTGGTTGATTTGCTGAACTCTCTCTTGAAAGTTTCGAATGCCTTCCTATATCTTGTAGTTTAATCGCAATGCATGTGCTTCTCTATCACAGAGCATGTGGAGCAGTTTGTCTACCTGTTTCTTCATCGACTGTTTTCCCACCATTGTGTCCGGCGTTGTTTCATCTGGTTGTGGTACACTCTCCTGCAACAAATTGTGAAGTAAACAAGTTAAGATACGTCAACGAGTCCTACTAATCTTGTGAATTATGTTTTGAATCTACGATGAAGTGATGCAGATTCGATAAATTCCTGTAAATGACCATGCTCCCAATGTCCTTTGATATTGCTTTCAATATCAACCTCCAAATGCCAATCTACAGGTTTGAGTCACGTTGTGGTATTAAATTAATAAAATTTAGAACGATCTTGCAGTCTACAGGCAATCTAGTCCTGCATCTCTAGTGATTGTAAGATCCATGTAAATCTTCAACCAATTTTTTGTTATTTTTCAACTCATTAAAGGTGTGGTCATACTTAAAACTTTTATCATATTCCTTTGTAGGGCATCATTCATCAAGTGAGTTTCATCATTAAATAACTGATTCTAAAAACTGTCTTTACATCAGTACAAAATATAGGGAAACAAGAATATGAACGATGACAAGGAAATGTTGTTACTTTTAGCAAAATCTAGTGAGCATTACATACGTCAAATGACGGTAAAGATATGAAGGTAGTGTCAGGATAATTGTTACTTTTAGCAAAATCTAGTGAAAACAAGGATGAAACTCACTTGATGAATGATGCCCTACAAAGGAATATGATAAAAGTTTTAAGTATGAAAATTCTGAGGAGCAAAACAGCATTCCTGTTCTTGACTTGCCATACTTTGGAGCAACACAGCATTACTGTAAACTTATATTGTCAAACCACTCAGAATATCCAAATTCTAGCTTGAGAACTAATAAAATCACTCACATAAACACACAAAAACGACACCAGGTTGGTCAATCATTTCCCCCATAAGGGAAGGATCATGGACTAGACAACTCGTATTATTAGTTGTAAAGCAAAATTCGAAAGAATCTGCTGAAGGGTAAAGCGTCTTACCAGTAATCTGATAATCCTAGACTTGTAAATGTCTTAAGGTTCACATCTTATACTCCCACTTTGGATTGAATATCCGTGCTCCACAGAGAAGCCCATTGCTTCATTCCTGCAACATGGGAAGAAAGAAATCAAGTCTCATGCAGGCAGAAAAATGTAAAATAAAATGTATAGTGACCTGAATCAAGTTTTGGAACCTTAACCTTAGCCTTGATCACGAGTACCAATAGAGAACAAATCTCCAGTAACTGCCTAAGATTCTTTCTCCTGACTCATCTTCATCAAACAAAATCTAGTTTAGACTACTGATATTAATCCCTAAGCCTTGTCCAATTTTTTGTGGCTGCTTACGCTTGATGGTTTTTGTAATCACCCTTTTGGCAGATTCCACCCTGTTTCTCTGTAAATTTGCAGAAACTTCATATGCTGAACAAACAAGTAAAAAATTTCTATCAAGTGAGGGAAAAAAAAAATCCGGCCTTAAAGATCCATGTAAATTGTGATTAAGGTAAGGATGATCAACCAGTTTTAATGGATTGCCTGTCAAATGGCAAGTACATAATCCTTGAAATTCTTCTATGGAAGTGACATCATATACTTTTGTTAGCACATAATACCTCTAGGCACAGTCTATGGGTCTAGTTTCATCACAATAGGCAAAGTTACCATAACTTAATGTACATACCATGAAAACTCAAGTAAATATTGTTTTAGGTCATTTAAGCCCTACCTTGAATCAGTTATCCTTGCACAATTTTTTCCAGCAACCAAGAGAACGACAGTTCATTTTTCATTGTGTTTAAACGAATTTTTTCTTAAATTATTAAGTTGCCATGGTAGGAAAAAAGTTCACAACCTGGTTCATAAAATTTAAAAAATAAAAAGTAAAATAAAAAAGGGAGAGGGAAAGAGAGAGAAGAAAAGGAAAAGGCTAATAAGATTTCTCACCTTTGATATTAAACAAACACGAACAGGAAGAAGTAGACTGTTAAAAGTAATCCATTTATGTGCTCCTCAAACTGCCTGAAAACACATGCAGAAATTGAACATTTGACATTTCCTGAGAAGGTGAGAAAGAAAAAGAAAAAAAATATATATATATATATATGATAACACTAAAGAAAATTGCGAAAGTATCATCTCCTTTCTATATGTACATTCAAGGAAATTCACAAGCTAAAAACATATATATCATATAAAATAAAGGAAAGTGAGGATTAACAACATATTTCTAGTAAAAAATAAATCTTAAAGAATATAAAATCTAAAAAGAAAATACAAGAGAGGACAATTACTAGCTGGGGTAATTTCAATTTCAAGAACAAAATGAGCTATCTTCTTTGTTTCAAGCAATGATTCATCCACCCAGCCCTGTGAACCTGTTCCATTAAAAAAAAAAAAAATTTAAATAATAATCAATTGCAGTTAAATAAATAGAGAGGCAATGAACAAGTAGATAGAAGAATAAAACTGAGTTTTATGGTAATCAAAAACTTCAGACCAAAGAGGATTTACCTTGTATGTCAGTGTAATCGTGATATATAAATATTTGGGATATGAGCAATTTTTGGCCAATCTTCCCCTGTTTCTTTGTGGCATCTATCATTTAACACGTCAGTACAATATGTAATTCTGTGTTCTTGGAATGTAGTGAGCCGACGCATCCCTTCAGGCAGTGATGTCAATTTGGGGCAGTTAAAAATGTGAAGCTTTTCAAGTGATGTGAGGTTGCCTATCCACTCCGGTAATGTAACTAGATCATAAATTCTCCCAAGACTCAGATATTTTAATTTGGGAAGATGAAGAAGCAAAGAAGATGAAGAGGACAACGACATCGTCATCATTAGAAGTTGTTGTACTAGCTTCTTGCTGACGCAATCAAGATGTAGTACTTCAAGACATGGTTGCAGAATTGGGATTGATGCCAGATTAGGGCAATTAGTAATGGATAATGTGGAAAGAGTAGAAAATGATGGGAGCCAATAAGGCAATGACTTCAACTGTTGTTGATCTGGTAAGTTTGCAATAAAACTTGTTCTTGCTGCTTTTTCTTCTTCTGCTTTGCTTCTCCACCATCCCTTCAGATTAGGCAAGTCAGGGAGAACGAGACTCTTCAGCAATGGGAAGAATGTTGGTGTTAGGGTTGGTTCTCTTCTTCTTGCTGCTGCTGCTGCTTCTCCACTCAATGAAGTGAGGGACTCCTCACCACTGCCAGTATTGTTGTCTATGTACTCCACAGAATCCATATCATAAAGCTTAAGAAATTGGAGAGAAGGAAGTTGCCCAAATAGTGGAAGATGTTTGCATTTGTGGCAGTTCTCTATATCAATACTGACTAGATTTGGGATAGATAAACGAATGTCAACCATCATCCAACTTGGGGAACTCACTCCCTGAAAATAATATATTTTCAGTTCCTTCAGATTGGGGTGTGGACATAGGGATTCCAACAAAACACAATTATCTTCATCACTAAAAAAATATACTTCCAGCGTCTTAAGGAATTCTTTCGCCTCCAAGAAGTTTGTTTCATCCATTCTTTTCTCTGTTGTTGTTGCATTTTTTGAACACTGTCCGCTACTTGAGTACCCAATTCCAAGTATTCTAATACTTAATCTTCCCCGTAGATTGTTTAGGCTTTGCAATTCATTCAACCGACTGCCACTTGAGTTGGTTACAAATCTAGTTAATGTCAAAAGAGACGTCACCTGGCCCAATCCACACGGCATACCACTCAAATAATGACAGTAGCGAAGCTCAAGATGCCTAAGGCTGACCAATTTTCTTATATCTCTTGGCAATTCTACAAGCCCGTAACAATGATTGAGTTTTAGAGTCTGCAGACTTTGCAACTTGGTTATAGAATTTGGGAGAGTCAAGATATCACTATCACTGAGATCAAGATACCTTAAATGTTTCAGTTTGCTTATGTAACTCGGCACGGTCTGGATCTTCAACTTGTGGACAACCATCACACGTAACTTTTTAAAACTTAAAAGATTTCTTTCAAAAACTGACTCATCTAAAACTTGATCCTTCTTCCAAATAAACTGACTCATGACGAGTTGTTGCTGTAACATTTTCTGCTTTCGTCAAAGTGGAGTTCTCAAGCCTTGCCACCAATTGTGCAAGGTCATGGACTAGATCATGCATTTTGCAACTTATTATATCGCCCCATTCATCTCTTTCAACATCTTGAAAAAGGGACCTTCTTAGTAAATCCATAAAATACAAATCTCCCACATCTTCCAAGTGTTGATTTTCATACAATGATTGAATGAGTCCCTATGCAATCCACAATTGGATTAATGATTGCTTATCAATCTTTTCATCTTTCACATATAAGGAACAAAATGCAAAGCATTTCTTCAGATTTGAAGGAAGATGATCATAACTTAACTTTAATATTGGCAAAATAACATCTTCTACTTGAGCTATTTTTGCCAAATCATTACTTTCGAAAAGCAACCATTCAATATCTGTATCTTTAGAGTATAGTAGGCTTCCTATAGCCCTTATGGCAAGAGGAACTCCCTTACACTTCTGTGCAATCGCTTTCCCAATTGTAACTCGACATGTGTTCTCTGACTCTTCCCCATTGTTTGAATGCCATTTGCTTAAACAGAGACCACGACTCCTCCTTAGACAAGCCTTTTAAAAGATATGGTGAATTTGCACTCATAACATTTGCAACTAACTCACTACGGGTTGTTAGTAATATCTTACTTCCCCTTGAACCACCCATCAACAAAACTCTCAGCTCTAGCCATCTTTCACGATCCTCATTCCACACGTCGTCCAATACAAGCAAATATTTCTTTCCAATAATTTCTCTCTTAAGCTTTTCTTGCAACTTATCCATGGAAAGGTTTTCAGGTTTATCGTCTGTTGCAGACTCTATGATCTTTTCTACAATGAGCTCCACATCAAAGACATCCGATATACACACCCACATCTTAAGTTCAAAATGTTTAGTGACACCTTCATCATTGTATGCTAATTGTGCAAGTGTGGTCTTTCCTAGTCCCCCAATTCCAACTAATGCAACAACGGACACATTCTCTCGAACGTTACCGTCCAATAAAAGTACAATAATTGATGTTTTATCAGCACCCCTCCCAACAACACTTTCTGCATGAACAGAAGAGTGAGTCTCCGCCCTTTTACCATTCTCAACTTGCATCTCTAAAGGTTGTTCAGTTAGGTGAAATTTTTTCCTATCTTCTGCGATATCATCTAGTCTCTCCTTAATGGCTTTAGTCTCATGAGCCATCTTAAGACTAAAAGCAAGCTGGTTAGAGCTTGAGAAGAAAACGCGCACCTTCTTTAGCCCTTTATTCTGAGTCTTGACCTGACGCCAAAGAACTTGGGTGGAAAAGTCATCAAACAAGTCATCAGCATCATGAAGCACATCATTGAGCTTTTCCAACCAGTCTGCAATCTCATGGTTCGTGGATTGCTGCTCCTCTGCATCAACAATGACTGCTCTGATTGTAGACACCGTGTTTTCGAGTCTGCGAAGCTCATCCTTTACACCCCACACCAGGGCGATCTCTTGGAGAACTGTCGAGCCCAACTTCTTCAGAATTTCAGTCACGGTGTTGTGGAGAATTGTTTCAGCCATTTCTTCTTGATGAGATAGATGGTTTACAGATTGTTTGTGGAGCTATTGAACAAGGATAGTCAATTGTACAATTCACAAGGAGAGAATTGGCCAGCAAAACACCATGTGCATCTCTCTAAACAATTCTCAAAAAGAAAATTGGACAGCAAAACACCATGTGCACTTCTCCAAATTAGGCGTAAACTCCGCCATTGAATTGAAGATGATATTAATTTAATAATTGAAACTAATTGGGTGAGTGATTGACTATTAATATTCATGATCTAGTTGTTTATTCATGTAAACGCAATACATTGTTTTTGTGTCTCAAATTTCAACTCAAATAAATGATACTATACAATCAAATGAGTTTTATATATATATACATATAATGCAGATCAATGTAATCTGAAACACATACACAGAAACGTGTTCACATGAATAAATATATGTGTGTTTTGTGTGTGTGTGAAAATTCAAGATTGTACATTGAAATGGAAGAGAGGGTTTTTGAATGGAGAATTAGAATTTAGGGTTTTGTTGGGTACCGTATCATTTGGAGGCAGAGTAAAGGCAACGATCGCTGAGCTGACGGATTACAGTTGGAAGCTCATTCCTGCAACTCTCTTTCGCGCCCATCCAACTCTCTCTGAACCGCAGTTAGTACTACTCCGCAAGACACACAGATGATTTGCGTGGTAAATTGCTGAAAAAAATAAAATAAAATACTGTAGTAGAGTTGGGTATTCCGTAACTTTTTGAAATACAAGGAGGTTAGGTTATCAATCAATTTTTTGTAAGTGAAAAAGTTTTCCTAAGAACATTATGGAAGTTCTTTATCAGAAAAAAAAAAAATAAAGAATATATATATATAGATATATATATATTTGAATGACAACAGGAAGATAAACGGACACTAGAAAGACCAAAAATTTACTAATCTTTTACAAATATGAATCTGATCTTTTTAGTTTATTCATTTGCCATAATCTAGTAACACTAGGATTCTTCAGAAAATGGTTTTTTTTTTTTTTTCAAGTAATATATATATATATATATAGGCAAAGGTTTAGGTCCAATTTATTTTGCGGGGTTAATGAGTAAATTATATTTGTTAGGTTTTAAATTTTTTTTCTTTGGTAAATAGTTTACGACAATCAAATATTAAAAAATAAATTAAAAAATAATAAAATATATATATCCAAACAAACAGATCTTATGTTAAACTAAGAACGATGTATTCTGAATGCATCTTGAATTATTGGTAGGTTATTGCATTATGACAGGGGCCAAGCCAGGAATTAAATTCAGGGGAACACAGTGTAAAAAAAAGTATTCAATAATCACGCCAATAAATATAAATTCTATAAATTAAAAAACAAAGAAAAAAAAATTACTTCAAATAATATGCCAATCAATGAGTAATTAAGAATGATAAATAGTTAACAAAAAATTTAGAACCGAAAGAAATGGCTCCTAGGAAAAGGTGACACTTGTCACACTTTTCAAAAATTAGAAAATGGTCCCTTTTCTAAATATCTCACAAAATAATTGCAAAAGAGGTCCTAAGACAAAATATCTCAAAAAGTTAATTAGACAAAGCATCCCGCAAAACGAAAACGATTTCAAAGAAAAAAAGTAACCATACCCCTCTAAAATAAAAACAAGCTACCATGCTTTTCTACACAATTTAATTAGGCATTAACAATAAATTAAATTGAAGTGGATGCATGCGATGTCGAAAAATACCCCCGAACACTACTAGATATGGCGATATAAATAGACACATGAATTAACCATTTATACTTTGCCTAGGGCAGTTAAATAGTAAGAGCTCTGATACCATTTGTGACGGCCCAAGTTTTTCAACCCTGTTCGTCACTGATGACCCGAAAGTTGACCCGGTAACGTGTCCGAAATACGGAAGCAAAAGATAAACCAAGGTCTCTAGAGATAGAAGTTACCCCTAAGATACCAATGTGACCTTCCATGAGGTCATGGAACTTAAAGAGAGTAAAAGAGCGAACGAGACTCAAAACGGGCAAAATTCGTCAATAAAGGGCAAAATGGTTAATTCACATATAAAAAGAGAAAATTGACTCTAAACAAGTCAAACAAGGTGAATACAACCTAATCTAATCATTTCATAACATTCCAAGAGGTTCTAAGAACTTTGGCCAATAATCCCACAAAATGCCCTTTTCCCGGTTTAAGTAAAAACTGACACTGTCTCACTAAAACTTAAATAAGTCCCACTATGATTTTAATCTGAGAATGGCATTGGTACCATTGGAAAGCTGACTCAAAATCCATGAATTTAGGCTTAAGAATCACCCTATTTGGATTAGAAATAAAGGAGATATGACCATTTGAAGTCGGAACAACAGTGCTGAAACAAAACTGAAGAGGCTGGAGTATGAGGGCTGTTTCGGTCAACCGAAATAGAGTTTCGGACGACCGAAATGGACAGAAACTTTTTTGAAAACACATTTTTAAGGGGAGGTTGTTTCGGTAGACCGAAATGGTCCTGAATAGTGAAAAAGGCTACTGGAAATGAATTTTTACTGTGCAATGAGTTTCCCAAAAGCTATCGGTCGACCGAACTAACATTTTGGATGACCGAAATGACTCGAAATGGCAATAAATGACCTGTTATGAACAAGAATTTTTGAGGCTTCACCCAAGCCTTAAACCCCAACATGAATGTGATCCAAAAACATGATTTTAAGCTATATAAGTATGCCAACAAGTATACTTTAAATGTTGAAGTGTGTTACAATGGCCCGAGGTCTCATTACATTTTATTTACAAGATTTTACATGCCAAACCTTAAAGTTAGGAAGATTACATCCCAAAGACAAAACTTGGAATCTAAATGCATACACTTGAACTTTAAGGATTTTGGCCTTTGGCCTCATGTCATACATATCAAATAGGTTCCAATAATGTATCTAAAGACACTTTACATATCAAAAAGTAAAAATGGCATAATTGAACCTAATTAAGCATTACATCTTTATAAGCAAAACTTAAACATGCTAACACTTGCATGTAAACAAAAATACTTTAAAAGAAGCTTCAAATCTCCAAACCACCCAAGGCAAGTGCAAATCTCCGAATCTTGAATCCTGTACCTGAACAATACCTCGGTAACTTCGGGGTGAGTAAATAAGTTTACTCGTAGGGAATGAGCATGCATCGATTCGATTTCTTATAAATTTTTACATTAACATGAAACAATTCAAAAGGGTCATGCCACCTAACGTCTATATCAAAGGTTAGACTCAGGGAGTATCCTAAGCTACCTTAGAACATTTCTAGCATAAATCATATCATGCATGCAATCCCAAACAACATAAGGGCATGCTATACAAAGTAACAAAATATAGATTCTCAAAGTTTTCAACTTGAAATCTAAAATGCGAAAACAACTAAAGTGGGTCATACAACCTAACGTTTATGTTCCAAATGAACCTA